CCAACCCTCTTGAAATTACGTAATAAACAACACTTCCCTAAACGGCTCAATTATATTGCATTTATAATAATTGCGAATTGCGAATTAGAGATAAACAGTATCAGTTAGATTAAATTTTATAATACGTTTTCGTTGATTAAAATGATGGTTTTTTCAAAAGCAAGCAATATTATTCATTATTATTAAACCAAATTTTTATTATCTACATAATTAAAGCTTATTATAATAATATTGTAAGGTTGTAACTATTTTTTGAAAAGCGCGAAATTATACTGTATAATAAGATTACTTTGCTAATAAAGAAATATTATTTTATGAAATAATGCATAATTAAATATAGATAAAAGTTACGTACTCAATTCACCCTACAAAATTATCGTTATACAACAATATATATATTATATATGTTAAAAATAGACAATACGTATATTATTAAAAACCCATTATAAATTATTTTAGTTTTGGTATATTTCCCCTCATAATGATAGAAATTAATCATTGATAGTAGAATAATTAATTGATGTAGTAATTTCTTCTGCTACTGCGCTGTTCTGTTTATGTATTTCGCTATAAATTGGAAAAATTAGTTGAATAAAGAGATCAATTACTTTATGTTATTTTATCAAGTCAATTTTGTATATAACTATAATCAAGAAGCATACCCATAAACAATTCCAAAAAGCGCGATTAAGTTTATAATAGCAGTTCCATCAAAACTTATAATTGCTAATATGATGTAAAGCGCCAAGTATTCAGCTATTTTGCTTCTGAAAAGAGCTACAAAAAATGCCATAACCGCTAACCAACAAACTATAACAGATAGGCTAAAGTTCATAACCTTGAGCTACGTATTATATAACTTGAAATTAGCAAATTTAATACAGTAATTTAATTTAACCTTTTTAGAATACAAAGAAAAAGAATATACCTTATTTAAATGAGTACGATAACTTTGTAAGCGCAAAGCTTTACTCTCGGAATTTCTTAAGTCTTCCAGTCCCATTATTTTAGTGCTTTCATCAAGCAATCTAATGACTAATCTCCCATATTTTATGAAGCATAAGCCTCCTAAGAGATATGAAATACAAAATTCGATTAGAATTATAGATTGTATTATATTAAACAATGATTCTTTGTCAACCATTTGAAAATATCCTTTTAATATGGATAATATTAAATTCGTAGTGATTATAGTGATTGTAAATGTCCAATATATTATAAGTACTGTGTTGTCGTTCGGTATAAACTGCCTAACTATTAAATTGTTATCCATTTGAGTATTGAAAATAGTATGTGAATGTAATGCTAATCGAGGAAGAACTTTAAATCTAAATTGAAAATTTGTTAAGCTTATATTTATGGATTTACATATGTTTAAATAAAGTACATATTTCATATAAAAAAAGAAATTTACATGCTGACTAAATAATTTGCTGCTCCAATGCACCCAAATGACCAACCCGAAATATTAATAATCGATTTTAGAATATAATTGTCATGTAACCAATCATTCGTTATTATTAACATTGCAACGGCTCGAACTGAATAAAAACAATGATGATTATTAAAATAGTTATTTGAATTGAGTGAATATTTGAGTCCTTACATTTATGCAAATTTTTATAAAAAATACACATACATATTCCATGTAAAATCATCCAAATTAAAAATCCTTTAATAGGTCCCATTTTTGATACTATATTACTATTCCAAGGAAGTACACGTACTAAAATAATAAACGATGAAACTAGAAGAATAAAACATAGCGTTATTGAAATGTAATATATCCAAAAAAAGTATATGCTTCCTTGGCAATTAGTTATAATTGACAAATCCCATCGACATGGTGAATTAATATTGCTTTGTTGAATTACTCTGTCATTTATGCTAGAAAATTGCGCAATAGTAAGGTTTTCCATAAAGCAATGATGTTTAATATTTTTTTGTACATTGAATTAAAAAAAAAAAAGTACACAGTACGTTGGAAAAAAGAATGTTTTTATAAAATGATAAATTCGTATTATCCCTTACATTTTTAGGAAGCACAAACTATTTCATCAAAAAGTACAGTGTTTATATATTTGTTTTTCTGGTACATACGTACGTACAAACGTCGATGTGCCTTACTTGGTGTTTGGGTATTCATTATTCTATTGGGACATTACTGTATTACTGCATTAAGTGATCAATTTATATGTAGTCCTACGTATGAATTTTTTCGTACGATGGTACATAGTTTTATAATATTTAACTTTAAAATTGTATCTTCTCTATAATTTGCATATTAGCTTATTTAAAAATTTGTTCTATTGCTCTACAAAACCTATTATTTAATAAATTAAAAGAACGTTTTAAAAAAAATTTTTTGATCAATTTTTTTAATTAAAAATATATAACATGTATTTTATTAACGTTAACGTAAATCGTATGATGTTTACATCTTACTTATATATGTCGTAAGTGAAAAATGGGGTTTATACGTATAAAAATCCGAATCCAATTTCAACTTACAACATACCGGGTGTCCCAAAAGTTCCTATGCACAGTCCCTTTTTTTTTTAAAGCGACTTATTTAGAGAGATCGCGATGATTATTTATGCAACACTTAAAAAAAAGGGACCGTGTATAGGAACTTTTGGGACACCCGGTATATAGATCACCCGAATTGTTACACGAGGAAATATTCTACGTACGTATCAAGTGTACAATGTGGGTTAATCCATCAAGATGATTTTCATGCACACGTGTGTACATTTATTTGTAACAAAAAAAAATTCATTTATTACAAAATTCAATTTTTAATATACTACATATGAGTGCTGCCAAGAAAAAACCCACAATTGGGCTTTTAATATTTAGTTTGTTTTCTGTATTAAATATGAGACATGTCCTCTTACAAGAGTTCAAAATGTTGTCAAATATAAATCAAATAAGTTAACTTACCCAAATTTATATATAAAATTTGACAAAAAAAATTCTTTTTTTAATTTATTTAATAATTTTTACTACAAATCACTAGTGGGTATCATTAATACTTCTAGATGTTTTT